AAATGTTTTAATGTGTAGAGTTAAACTCATATGCTTTGTTGACACATCTGTTCACCTGAACGTCCTCCTTTACCTGACAAACATGAGTCATAATACACACAGCCATTCATTAGTAAAGCATGAACGCAGTTTATTTTAGACATTTTGAATAAACACATCATTATTCCTGGAAATAAGTCTAAAAATGGCAACCCTAATGGTGTGATCTGCTCATTGAGCTTATGCAGCAGACATTCGTGGGAATCATTTGGAAAGATCTGTAGTTTTGGAACACGTTAAATATCCTGCAAGAACTCTTTCCTACTTCTAAATCAACAGACACGTGAGCATGGGTACATAACACCGGGACAACATTTTATTTTGCTTAAAATTGTTTATTTCTTTACAAAATGACATTCACACACCGAGTCCCTTTAGCCTTTGCCTGCGTCACAGATTTGTGCGTTTCTGCTATCCTACAACAGTTCTTTAAGCCACACACTGTCCTCTTCTCCTCCTCCAAGGAACCAGAAAACCTTAGACATTTCAAACTAAACCTTATTGTCTTTCACATTAATGAACAAGGAAATCACCAAATCGATTGAGCATATGATAAAGACAAAGATCAGACTGGGTAATTAAGTAGAATTTCAAACAATGGAGATGGAAAAACATTATGAAACACACTTTTCAAAATGGAGGGAAAGCAGAGGTCAATGATGACATCTTAGGAAGAGAAATATGCTCAAACGTACAAAAGAATGTGAGGATGGATAATGAAGCTTCAGAAAAAGGCTTTACAGAACTTTCTAAAAGGCAAAATCACACAGCCATGTCTAATTTTGAAAACTTTGTGAAACATAGTAACAAAGCACTGCCACGTCATGCAGCAATGAGCCAAGTTTGGAGATGAGGCGGCGCGGTTGAGCATTACTCGTGCATCACCATTACGAGCTGTTATTGCATCATGACTACAAAGATACTCAAGAGAAACCAGAGGCAGGCAGTGTGACGCAGCCGTGACAGCAGCCGTACAGTGTGGACATTCAGTAGAGCTAGCAACAGGCTTTAAGACATGACCGGACAACAAATAGTGCTAACACTAAAAACTTTAGGGCCATAATTCCATTCTTTTATTTAAATTACATTACAAGGCAAGTGATAAAGGTGGCATTTGATGAGAAACGGTGGAGAGGACACATGGGAATCCACAAGTCATCTTGTTTTTCTCCTAAACCAATTAAAGCAGACTTTTTAGGGATGTGGTCTTAAAGAGACAGGCGCTGAAACGGCGTGTTTTAAGACAGATGGTGAATACAAGTATATTCAGACAAAGAGTATGAGAAAAAGTATGTGTCTTTTTCACATTAAAGCATGTAAACATGGTCTAATAGAAACCCAAATACATAATAAACATGATTTTTTTAAATGATATGTCCCCTTTAAAATGAGTCAGATAATTGAATACAAGTCAAATATTCTGCTACCCATGCTGGACATACATTTGAGACAATCTCTCTGTCTTTTAGAAGTTTCAGCATGTTTTACCTCCTACCCATGTGCCCTTTTAATGCATTTGTTCCACTACATGCCAACAGAAAACAATCAGATCACACAGTGAGCCCTTACTCTTAAAAAACGGACCAACATTCAGAGTTCGGAGGAGGAAAACAAAGGATTAGTCCTTGCTGTGTACAGACAACAGGGCTGCAGCCTGACCTCCACCCTGTCTTAGTTTTCCAGGAGAAACGCTCACACAAACGTCATGTGTTGTCAACATTGTCCAACATTGTCGTCAACATTGTGTTGCAGTACACTATTTACTTATTCTTTCTGTACAAATAAACAGATCAGGTTAAACCAGTTCACAAAAGAGCACTAAACTAAGAAAATGAATTCTCCAATTAGAGGTGGTTTGTCCAGAACTCCTGAGAGGACGTCATATAAATCAATCCCTGTATAATGAAAAACATGCATATATTTTGGGGCAATAAAAGGAATTTTTCCCTCTGTAGGATTACATAGTATTGAAAAATCAAACTAAACGTTAGCAAGCGGCAACCACTGAAATCTGGATTTAATATTTTGATAAAGCTTATGAATTATTTTCCAAAAATATCTAATGATTAATCACACATTTTTCTAAAGATAGCCTATCACCCGGCTCTATTTGATAGGAAATATTTCTTCTGAAAGCTTACATCGTCACAGTATAAACAATGTTCAAACTGGTCTACTGAAAGAGGAACCCTACTGCATGGTCACTAAGACTTATTCCAGATATATTCATTTCAAAAAGCTGAAGTCTGAGTGGAAATGGATATCTTTCAATCATTCGTGAATCAACTCTTTTGTACAAAGAATCTGATTGCAAAGAAGTTTATACGGCTAACATCCAGTTCCCTGTCCACTCCTTGTTATGAAGTAAACATGTCATGCATAACATAAGATCACACCACTACACTGGCTAAGCCTATATACGTGGTGTAACAGTTCATGTATACACTCTTTCTGTGTTATTGGGGGGGAGTAGAGCTCCGATTGAGTTGCATGTTTCAGATCACCAGAATATTGTGCCTCGCCAATTCAAATCGAAGTTACAGATTATTTTCCTTAATATTCAAAAGTAAATCTCTCAGTTTACATTCCTTTCATATCAGATCAATAGTTTGCTGCAACGACACTAAATCATTTGTCTGAAACCGAGCCAATCTGCACAAATCCTGTCAAGGCAAATTGATATTAAAAAAACATCTTTCCACTTGATAAAGGATCTCATTTTTTTCTTTAACTATGGACCAAAAAATAAAACCAGAGCTACGGGGAACTGTTACACCACTAAATAAAGAATTCCAAAAAGGTTTTAGGCACACGATAGTTGAAGAAATACCTTTTGCTTAAGTGAAATGAGAAGTTATAGAAAGAGCTTTATTAGATCCTGCTCTTTCCCCTTACTGACTATGAATCTAGCAGTGGTTACTCGTCTTAAATAACATTACCAAGTGATCCACGGCATCAGTAACAACCACACATTCAAAATGATAAAACATTGTAACAGCATGAAGTATGATATACTTCTCTAAAATCCAATGTATTCTCATGCCTTGGAACTAGTACCAGCAGAGCAATGATTCCAACTCAATGCTGAATGTTTCCTTCCATCTCAGTGGTTACTTTTGCTTTTGTTAGTAAAACTAAGTGGGATGTGATTCTCCGCTGCACTTTGTTAAATTGCATAAGACAGACTTGACATTTCCATCTCGTCTGGTGCATCAGTCAACTCAGTACATATGCATGGCTGATAAACAAGTTATTCTAGGCTGCAATGAAAATCTCAAATGTCTTTGGTTCATTATTAACCTACAATGCAGTGTGTCACCCCGGGCCTGTTGTGTTAGGTAAGAATTCTTAACGATGCAAACCTGCCTTTTTGAGAAAGTTCGAAGGAACTTCTTTAAATGTAGTTTAAATAACTGATCATATTTACAGAGTGGAGTCAGAAAACAAAGTACATTTCTGTTTTCTTACCAACTCTGCCGTCTTATGACCGTCGGTCCTCCTGGTTTTGATGACGTGACTTGAAGGATGGACTCTCGAGTGACCTTTGAACTACAGACAGCCTTAAAGAGAATCACTGTTGTTGCATGACTGGAAATGTGAGGATGGCTCTCCGTGTCCTGAAATAGATCGGTGGAGGAACAGACGTCCTTGTGTGTTATTTACGTATTATATTTTATAACGCACATACCAATAGGAATAACGACAAACGCTATGAAAGCAGTATTGTATAAACACAGAATTTTACTTTAAAAGGTCAGGCGGAATTTCATATTTATTTTATAGTCCAATGTCGTGTGTAAACCTAAATCACCAATAAATATATCTTAGTGTTTTGTATGCATCTAAAGCGAGATATATATGAATTCCTTTGCACCATAGATGTGCATCGTTTTCTTCAAACTATTAAAAACACTGTTTTTTTCACTGAAGGAATAAACACTAGCGCTGAAAAGGTGGATAAATCCGTAGCTGAAAATAGTCCCCAACAGATGCACTATTCACTCCTGGTATAACTGTTAAGTTCTCCTTACCTACAGTAGTATGTATGTTTAATAATGAGTTTATATAAAGAGTTTATGATATTTTACTGTACTGTAAAATATATTTGTTTTTACTTGGATGCACTAAATAAATTAAGTAAATCTCCTGTTTGAGTGTCTGTTAAAAACTATAGTAGCCAGCATTTTATTTATTTATGAAACTATACATCTGTAAGCTTTTCTTAAAATGTGATGTCTTTAGTAGGAACCAATGGGTTTTAAGTTGAGTGTCCCAGACAGCATAGTACGCCAGAAAGTATTGCGAGATGGACCAACACATTTTTTTGTTTTGTCTTTTCATGAGTAGTTGAAAATACAAAATATATAAAAATACCATCAGAATGATCATTTAAGTGACGCTCACTTATTGTGTTTTACCCAAAGCCCGCCCTGTACCACATTCAGTACCTGACTGTTTACTTCTTTTTTCATTGGAGCTGCCTCACTGTGATTTAACGACAGTATCGATTGCAGATTCTTATTCTAACTCTCTGATAAGGTGGACTCAATCTCAGCCCTTTCAAATCTGACCACATAACCCCCCTGCT